TGCACCTTTCGGCCACCCCCCATACTGGGTGCTGTGGGGCTTTCCCCCACCCTGTCCCTGCAAGCAGGTCCCCCAGCACCCTGCATTCTACCCCCCGTTTCCATGTGGTTCCACAGCACGCGTGTGCCCTCTCCCCGTCAGGGTGAAGATGAAGTAGAGCTCTGACCATGGACCATGATGCCCCCACAATCAGGCCCCGCCGCATCCAGAACCAGAACGTCATCCACCGCCTGGAGCGCCGCCGGATCAGCTCGGGCAAAGCCGGCACCCACTGGCACCAGGTCCGTGTCTTCCACCAGAACGTCTTCCCCAACTTCACCGTGGTCAACGTGGAGAAGCCGCCCTGCTTCTTGCGCAAGTTCTCCCCTGATGGCCGCTACTTCATCGCCTTCTCCTCTGACCAGACCTCTCTGGAGATCTACGAGTACCAAGGCTGCCAGGCGGCAGAAGACCTCCTGCAGGGCTACGAGGGGGAGATCCTGGCCAACGGCAACGACCAAAGATCCGTCAACATCCGCGGGCGGCTCTTTGAGCGCTTCTTTGTCCTGCTCCATATCACCAACGTGGCCTCCAACGGGGAGCACTTGAACCGGGAGTGCAGCTTGTTCACCGACGACTGCCGGTACGTGATCGTGGGCTCTGCCGCGTACCTGCCCGAGGAGCCTCACCCTCCCTTCTTCGAGGTCTACCGCAACAGCGAGTCCGTGACCCCCAATCCCCGCTCCCCCCTGGAGGATTATTCCCTGCATATCATAGACCTCCACACGGGCAGACTTTGTGACACACGGACCTTCAAATGTGACAAAGTCATCCTGTCTCACAACCAGGGGCTGTACCTCTATAAGAACATCTTGGCCATCCTCTCCGTGCAGCAACAGACTATTCACGTCTTTCAAGTCACACCCGAGGGTACGTTCATCGACGTGCGGACCATCGGCCGCTTCTGCTACGAGGATGATCTCCTGACTCTTTCTGCGGTGTACCCCGAGGTGCAGCGGGACACTCAGACGGGGATGGCCAACCCCTACAAAGAGCCCTTCATAAACTCTTTGAAGCACAGGCTGCTGGTGTACCTGTGGAGAAGGGCCGAGCAGGACGGAAGCGCCATAGCAAAAAGAAGGTTCTTCCAGTACTTTGATCAGCTGAGGCAGCTCCGCATGTGGAAGATGCAGCTTTTGGATGAGAACCATCTCTTCATCAAATACACCAGTGAAGACGTGGTCACGCTGCGGGTGACAGACCCGTCCCAGGTACTGCAGCCTCCTCAGGCTGCTCTTTGCTTTGGGGCAGCTCAAGTGGGCACAGTGCTGTGAGCTGTGTTTCATAGCCGAGCCTCTGAGCGTTGGTCAGTACTTCATTCTTGTGTGAGCATTTGACACCTCTAATACTGAATAACTTTCATATCTTTTGCTCTCTCAATTTCACTGCTTCCTTCTCAACTAGAAAGGAGAGAGAAGACCTCTGATGTGTGGTGGAGTCCTCTTTCTCCAGGGATTGTTCTCCTTGCTCACAGATGCTGTACCAGCCTCTTCCAAATCCCCAGCTGATCAGTTTTTTAGCTGATATTTCAGGTAGCACACTTCAATTGCAGAGGCAGTCTCTCCCTTCTCTCATGTATCTTGAAGCATGTTTTTCAAATAGAATAGTCCTCATTTTTCCCAGTAGAATTCCCTTTTCTGCCTACACGCTCACTCTTTCAAGCTTCAGTGAGTTAGTATTTATGATCTCTCTAAACTGGAGTAGCAGCTTTTAGATCTATTTAATGTGCCAGTTGCTTCTCCTTTCAGTTTAGTACTAAAGAAGTCAAATTAGAGCAAATGTAGCTCAGTCAGTGCAGGGTCCCTCCAGACCTTTTACCATGCCCCAGGTTGATCATCTCTTTCACTACAATTAGAGCTCTGGTCAGGTTTTGAGCTCTGTGAAACTGAGAAGAATGGTTTATTAGCCTGTTCTATTCCTTTAATCCACTTGCTTTTGATTCTCTTGGGAGTATTTAGTAAGAATTCATAATAAATCTCCAGTGCTGCATGTAGGTCTGATTGTTCCCTAGATGTTTGGTTTTCTTTCATACCCTTCTCTTCCTCCCTATCTTTGCCAGATCCAAGGCTTAGATCCTAGAAGAAACAGACAGTAGGTCTTTGTGTGTTGCCATAGACTAATTCTTCCTGGAAGATAACTGGCTTGTTTCCTTTTTCTGTTATGTGGTGTTGGTTGGGGAGAGCTGCTTTGGGAGGGAATAGGTCAAGGTGTAATCTGTTCAGCTTTACACATTGAGCATCTGCCTCAAAACCATTAAAGCTTTGTGGAAGTGGTCTGCAGCGTTGTGGTCGTTGCTGGGACGTGGAACAGAGCTCCTCACCTGATGTAAATGTCTGTTTCAGGCTCAGCTCTGCCCTGCCCTGTGGTTACCAGGGCTGCTGTGCCCAGTTTGCTGCATCTCCTGACTCTCCTCACCCAAGGCTTACTTGAAGCAGCAGATTGTGGTTTGTTTGTGGTGTTCCTCAGGCAGTGTGTGTTATGCTGAAGGAAAAGAACCTCAGTTCTTTCAGGAGGTAACTCCAGATGTGGAACAGTCTCTGCAGACCTGCCTGAACGTGGACTTTGTGTTGGGGCTTCCTCAACAAAGAAAACTTGACTCACAAAAATACTTAAAGCTCCAATTTTTCTGTTGTCTGTTGGACAAGAAAATGAGGTTTCATCCAGTTTCAGGCTCCTCTCTTCTCTCTGGCTTCTTCGCCAAGAAGGTTGAGGAAGATGCTGTTTGTGCTTTATATTGTCGGGGTCTGCACTGAATCCTTCAAGATTTTTATGCTGTGTGTATGTATCTTGGGGTTTGTGGTTGTTCCAGGCTTGTGTTAATAGACCTGACAACTTTGCCATGTGATTTCTGACACTTGACTTCTGCCATCTCTGCTGTGATGATGGATTTTGCCTGTGTTAGAGGTGCTGCTAAAGAGCAGTGAGGGTAGTTTCTCTGGTCAGGGGCCTCCTGTAGATGTATCTGTGTGTTAACCTTGCAAAGGAACTCTTTATTTAAGGTTGGAGGATACTCCCTGCAATCTCCAGTGATGTAAATAGTTTTTCCTTCTGCTGTCTCCTCTTATTTTGTCTCTGCTCCAGCCCTGTATTCCAGAAGGGCTTTCCTTTCCTCAGGCAGCAGTCGAGTGAGTAACCTCATGTAGAGCTCTTCGCTTGGACATGTGGGGGCTGGATTGTATTATCACAAGTTATTTTGGGGCGGTAAACCAAACAAACCTTGTGAGACTTGCAGGTGGGAGGGTGGGCAGAGTGCCTGCATCATCCTCAACTCTGTTTGGGAGCGGGAGGTGAAACATTTAAATATTGCCTTTATTGTCAGAAGATTTAACCAGGTATGTGTGCAGATACCATGGGAATTAGTCACCTTTGAAGTAGGGGCAGGTTCTTGCTTTGGAGTGCTGGGCTGTTAGCACTCCTGTCTCTAATGAATGCTACATTTGATCAAGGATTAAATGTGCCCTTTTCCAATGGGATGGGAACCTTGCCTCCTTTGGATGTAGTTGCACTGACACAATGTCACTTTTTTCATAGAATCACAAAATAGTTGGGTTGGAATAGTTTGGGTTGGAAGGGAACTTAAAAATCTTCTAGTTCCACCCCTCTGCCATCGGCAGGGACACCTTCCACTAGAGCAGGTTGCTCCAAGCCCCTGTGTCCAACCTGGCCTTGAACACTGCCAGGGATGGGGCAGCCACGGCTTCTCTGGGCACCCTGTGCCAGCACCTCAGCACCCTCACAGGGAAGAAATTCTGCCTAAGAGCTCATGCCCTCTGTCAGGTTAAAGCCATTCTCCCTTGTCCTGTCACTACCTGCCTTTGTAAAAAGATCCCTCTCCAGATTTCTTTTAGGCCCCCATAAGGTACTGGAAGACTGTTATAAGGTGTCTTCGGAGCCTTCTCTTCTCCATCTGACCCAGCCCAGCTCTCTCAGCCTGGCTCCAGAGCAGAGCTGCTCCAGCCCTCCCAGGAGCTCCGTGGCCTCCTCGGGACTCGCTCCAACAGCTCCACATCCCTCTTGTGTTGGAGGCCCCAGAGCTGGGGACAGGATGTAGGACTGCAAGGGGGGACTGTCTCAGAGTGGAGCAGAGGGGCAGAAACAGCTCCTTTTGCCTGTTGCTCACGCTCTTTTTGATGCAGCACAGCACATGGGGGGTTTCTGGGCTGGGAGTGCGCACTGGTGGGTCATGCAGAGCTTCTCATTAACCAACACCTCCTCCTCAGGGCTGCTCTCAATCCATTTTCTGCCCACTCTGTATTTGTGCTTGGGATTGCCCTGACCCAGGTGCAGGACCTTGCCTTGTTGCCATGAAACACTGCCATTGCCAATCCGCAGCGTGGTTCCTGAGCCTTCTTGCACAAGAATGTTGTCATTAAAAAGAAGCTATTAATGTCTTTCAGTTTTTCATTTCTCTACTGGCAATGCATCAAGGGCACAAGTCTTTGTGGGCAGTGGTTTAGTGCACGGTACACTAAAAAAGCTCATCTCTGTGGAATGGAACTATTAAGAAAAGGAAGAAAATGTATGTCTGTATGCAGAAGAAAAACTAATTTGTGGCCAGCTAGCTCTGGCTTTAAAATCATTTTGTCAGCAGGATAAAGTTAAATTTGGCACTTTAGTGTTTTGGATTTGGTGGAGAGCAGAAGAGAAAACAGGAGTATTGACATCCAGTTCGAGTTGAAAAATTGGAAGCCCATTGAGTTTTCTTCATAAATAATCACACTTAAGAGGTGGATAATTTGGTGCCTGTGGAGGTATTTGAATAGCAGAATGGATTAGCGTGGGGATCTGGGATTCTCCTGCACTGCAGAGACATTTGGATAGGATCCGTGGTGTCATGTGTAGGGGAGGAAGGGACAGCTTCCCCTGGGTAACCACTGCCTCTGCCTCTCTCCTCAGCCTTCGTTCTTCGTCGTGTACAACATGGTGACCACAGAGGTTATTGCTGTCTTTGAGAACACATCCGACGAGCTGCTGGAGCTGTTTGAGAACTTCTGTGACCTCTTCAGGAACGCCACCCTGCACAGCGAGGCCGTCCAGTTCCCCTGCTCAGCCTCCAGCAACAACTTTGCCAGGCAGATCCAGCGCCGGTGAGCCATTCGGAGCATGCTTTATCCCACCCAGCCCCGCGCTCAGCCCCGTCAGCTGAAGGCCGGTATCAAATAACAACAGCAACCCTGAGAAACCAGTTCCTTTAGGTGCGTGGGTCTTGCTTGGACATGGTTCATCTTGCAGCCTCATGCATCTGGTTTGATGTTCCACAGGATCTGTCTCATTGCAGGAAGGAGCAAAGCAGTGGCAATTCAGTGCTTAGAAGAAGGAAAGGGAGTTTTGAGGGAAAGATGCTTCTGGCCCTCCTTGAGCAGTAACTCTTCTGGAGGTTATTAAAGCCCAATAGCTTAGATCCCCTGAAGATTTGTCAAGATGCTAATTGCCAAGTGGCATTCTCTGAATTTAGCAGGTATCAAAGTGTTCTGTAACGTTTTCTCCAACATCAGTCACAAGCTTGTGGCTCTCCTCAAACTCTGTTAGGAGAAAGGAAGCTCATCTGCCTAGACCTGTTGTGAAAGCTGAGCAAAGCATCAAAATAACCTGGATTTCTAGAATGTACTTCAACAGTCAGATGTGGTTTTAATGAGGCAGAGTGTGTTATTTCTCTTGGAATATATTTTGATGTGACTCAGGGTGTTTTGTTCTTCCAGTGACTTGTTTTGCATCATCCAAAGTACTTGGCAACCACTTCTGGGCATGAAGCTTCTGTTGATTTTAGGCTGACGTCACATAAGTAAGAGGAAGTTGACTGTGTCTTTAACTTTCTAGAGCTGCCTGTCAGGAAATCCATAGTGCTTAGTGGGAGAGGAGAGAATGAGAGAGCTCACTGCAGACACCCGAAGAACAGCTCCTGCCTTGTGTTAGAGAGGAGAATCTTTTCATCCTCTTAGCTACAAGGGCCTTTAACAGGAGTGTTTAACTTCCACAGCAAAGTAAAATAGAGCATAAGCCACAGTGAGGTGGCTTTTGGCTGAGTGTTTCCGGCCAAGTGGAAGGGTTTTACCCTCCTTGATGTATGACATCTGTGCAGCTGATCTGACTGTTCTTGCACATAGAAAGCTCCAGTTTTACTTGGAAAGGAAATCCAGCCTCTGTTCATCTCTCCACCAGGGAGAACTTTCACCTCAGTGGAGTTTCTGAAGAGCTTTAGGCTTCTCATCAAGGGTCTTCCTCATCTCAGGTTTCTTCCTTTGTGCATTTCAAACGTAGTGGCTGTGTCAACATTAAGGGCTCAACTGTTACTGTGAAACCCTCTGGCTTTTGCTTATGCTCTTTCCAGGCTTCATGGTAGAACTTGGATTGACTGATAAGCTGCTAATCCATCTCTCCCTGTTTCTGATCCTGTTCATTTCCTGCACTGCAGAGCAGCTGGGTCCAGGCACAGTCTTCTCCTTCTGTCAGTTTGGACTTTCAGAGCAGAAACAGTAATGATGAGAGGATAAAAAGGTCACCAGATCTGGCTGATGCTCGAATCACTGTGATACATCTTTGGAAAGGAGCTGGTTTAGTTCTTACACTGCTGCTGCTTTTCCTTCCCTGTCAGTTTTCCTCCTTAGCTTAATTTGAGCTGTGCTGTTCACCTGTGGCCTTTGTGAGTAAAACCTGTCCCTTGGCTTGCTCCAGGTTCAAAGACACTATCGTGAATGCCAAGTATGGAGGGCACACGGAGGCCGTGCGGAGGCTGCTGGGCCAGCTCCCCATCAGCGCCCAGTCCTACAGTGGCAGCCCATACCTCGACCTCTCCCTTTTCAGCTATGATGACAAGTGGGTGTCAGTCATGGAGCGGCCCAAGACCTGCGGGGATCACCCTATAAGGTACGGAACAGACCAAGAAGCTGTGTGTGAGGGGACCAGAGCGAGTAGATCACTGCCGTGTGGCACCAAATGTGCAGAGAAGGGGGTAGACTGAGGCCTTTCTCTCATGACATCCTTTCACCAGAGGGTTTATTTCAGCACGAAACTTGGCCTCCTTCTTTCTGACAACTGCATGTGTAGGAGGGCTCTTCGGGTCTTCTCCCTGAGCTGCCCTGGGGAAGGTTTGGGTAGTGAAACCTGAGCATTTTCCATATGAATGTTCTTGTTCCTCCTCCTCTTCTTGCTCTCCTGGTGGTGTGTTTGGGCTGCAGTGTGATATATATGGTTCTGGGTGCCCGCCTTCCTGTGCTGGAAGGATCCCTTTTGAGCACGTGGGCTTAGCTGGCAAGGATGATCTGGTTTATCCTGTGAATAAAATAGTAGCTGGGTTAGGTGATTCTCAGAACGCTCGTGGTATTGATTTAGCTATTTTCAGACTTGCCTTGTTTACAGTTCTCACCCTGGGAGCTGTACTCCTCTTCATACCCCGCTGCTTTCTGTGGTCTGGAGGAAATTTGTTTCCATACTAGGAGTTTTAGCCAGGGGTGAGGGCCATTCTGTGCCTCTATGTCTGAGCTTTTAATATAGGAGTAAGCCTGAGCTTGGGAATAAGGAGGTTTATAATGCTTCTTGAGAAACATACTTATTTTCGTTGGCTGCAGCCATGGCTGGAAGTAGTAGCAGTTAAAAATCCAACCTCTCTGGCCTGAGAGGCATAAAGAGCCTGAGTTCTCCAGGCAAGAATAGTCTTTCCACTTATAGTACTGCAGAAGCAAACCTATGCTCTGAAAACAAAGCGAGCCTTCAATGCCCAAGTGCTTTGTTTAGCAACTGCACACATGTTGAGGGCTCGGGCAGCCTAGGGAGACCATGCTGGCCGGTTTCCCGACTTTATTTTCATCCAGGCATTCTCCAGCAGTGGTTTCATGGCTCCCCTGGCCCTGACTCAGGTGCTGGGGAACCTCTGCTTATTCTAGTGCTCTGAATTCCCAACTTATGTATATTTAATTGCTTTTTCTGCCTGTATGAGTTGGTTTGATCTCGGGCTCCCGTGTCATCTGCAGAGAAAAGCCTGCCCTTTTCCCCCTTGTCATGCCTGATGGTGGGAAAACTTGCCTGGCGGCAGTTGTCTGCCAGCACCAACCTGTGTGGGGCTCCTGCAGACAAAAGGGAGCAAAACCGCAGTGGTTTGCTGTGGTAAAGTGTTTGTAGAAAACAAAGCCAAGTGCCACCTTCCCTCCCTCCCCTGAGCAAACCAGCCCTTGAGCCAGAGCTTCTAAAGCTCAGAGCTGTGCAGAGTCAATTAGGACTTGAATAGAGGCTCGGAGCTGTGGGGCTCCTGGTTTTTGGCAAGTGAGCAGAAGACAAGGTGCTAACCTTAACCATTCAGGAGCTGAAATGGTGCCGCTGTGCCTCTCGCATGCAAAACAAAGGGATTAATAAAGTAATGCCGCAGCCTGTTGTGGTTAGAGGGCTTGGAAAGGAGGGGCCACAGGCTCTATAATGTAAGTCCTGTAATCGTCTGCAATGGGAAACCCTTCAGCAGCTCAGGGTGCTCCAATCCATGTGCAGTTTCTGGCACTGTGTGCCAGGTAAGGCCTCCATACCTTTTACCCACCGGTGGCAGCACCTCTGTGCACTGCATCACTTTAACCCTTAGTGCCTTTCTGCATCCCTGAAGGTTCAATAATCAACTCGGGCTACCTGAGAGACCAGTGGCTGGTTGCTTTCAGGCAGGAAGGACTTTCCGCATCACTGCTGTCTTCCAGCACTGCCATCTTCCAGCATCTTTTCAGGAGGCTTGAAGAGATATTCACTGGGTGAAATGATGGCACTTGTTGAGGAAGAGGCTCTAACACAGCCTTGCCTATAGTAGGGGGTCTCTCAAATCCATCTAGATGGTTAATAAGGAGCCATTTAACCAAAAAATTGGTCTGCAGATGAATCTTCCATTTTCATACAGCCTGAAAAGGCTGGTCTTGCCGCTTCTGTTGACATACAATTTTATATTGCAGTGCCTAATTTATCCCCAGAGTGAGAGCCCATGGAAATGGCCTCTGATTGCAGAGCACTTTTAAAACTACATTTAAAAATACCAAACTGAGCCCATCTTTGAGATTACAGGGAGCTTCATCTCGAGTAGTAAATTATTGTGAATTGGGGAGAGAGAGGAGCAGACGGGGGACTGTGCTTTATTTAAAGAATGACCCTCTGCATACCCAGCCTTGTGTAGGAGGGAAAGGGCTTTTTGAAAAGCCAAATACCAAGATTGTGACTCTCTTGCTGGGTTCTTGTGTGCAATTTTCAGGCAGGGCTGGCTGGCACTTTGATTCAGAGGAAGGGAGAGAGAGGAGAGTGGCCCTCCAGGAAGAACATGGGGTTCTCAATAGGCTCTGCTGTTAAAATGTGGAGTATTTCTGCTTCTGAAACAGCGTTGCCTGTATCTGTCATCGCCCGTTCTTCCAGGCTGAGAGCCGACTGCATTGTATTGGTGGCGGGGGGGAATGTGCTCTGAGATTAAAAGCATTCTCGGAGTGAAAACCAGAGAAAAAATGCAAAATACCCACATGTACTAAGTGATGGTAGAAAAGGAGGCAGCTGGGAGGTGAACTGGCAATGCTGGGAGAGCAGAGAAAATGGGTCTAACGAACTGAGACAACTTCAGGCTGAGGACTTGAGTTAGAGCCCAGCTGCTTTGTGAAGGTACCACATCCAGAAGCCTCCATCACCGCATCCCAGAAACCTCCACCACAGTCTTGGGGAGCGTGGGGTCACTGCAGAGTCCCATGTTCCCACAGCAGCACAGGATCCTGGTGTTACCTGAGGTCATGTCTGAGTATGCAGAGAAGGCTCAAGAAGCAGAGAGCTTCCTAGCCTGTCTCTTCAGCACTGTTTGCTTTGTGCTGAAGCCGTGTTCCAGAGCTCCCCTGTTTGGAGGCACAAATGAGCTTGACCCACAGGCAGGTTTGTGAGTGACAGTAGAAGGATGCAAAGCTTCCCTTGACCGCTGCCCTTGCTCTGCTTGTTGAGTGCAATTCACTGGGTGCTTTCTGCCCAACCTATCTTGTTAATGCTTTTTTTTTCTTGGTGGAAATCTAAAAGGAACTGTAAAACCCTGCTTGAGCTGCACCGTATATATATATCTTGTCACCCTTGAGCAGAATTGGTTCAAGCTGTTCACCTTCTTCAACTGAAAGGGGGTGTAGCAGCAGCATAAAGCCTACCTGGCAGCCTTAAGAGAGGGAAGGGGTAGCCTTACACTCATAGTGAAAGCCACTGGTAAGGGAAGCAAGCTCAGTCCTGTACAGTATATGTGCCTTAGGGATGAAGGGGAGCAGCTTGCACTAAGAGAGGATGGAAAGCCAGCGCAAGTGGGGTCTGGCCCAAGCCTATTCCATCTTGTGAAGTCAGCTGTGTCCACCAACACCACAGGCACTGATGATACTAAGATGAAATCAGGCTTTTCTAGACAGTGGAAAACTAGCTGCCCTGAGAGGAGCTTCCTGGCCAAGAGCCAGACACCCAGCTGAGGACTTCCTGCCCCTGAGGGAGCACCAGAGCTTGAACAAGGCACTTGTCTGAGTGTGTGTGTGTGTGTGTGAAGAGCCCAGATGGCAAAGTCAATAGTCGGGAACAACCATAAGTGACTTTCTCTTCCTTTCAGGTTTTACGCTCGTGATTCTGGCCTCCTGAAGTTTGAGATCCAGGCGGGCCTCCTGGGGCGCCCCATCAATCACACCGTGCGTCGCCTGGTTGCGTTCACCTTCCACCCCTTCGAGCCCTTCGCCATCTCCGTGCAGCGCACGAACGCCGAGTACGTGGTGAACTTCCACATGAGGCACAGCTGCACGTAGCATGGCTCGGCTGCTCTGCTGGGGCTGGGGCTGGGGCTCTGCCACAGGCACACCAAAGCCAGGCACTCGCGCCTTCTAGGAAACCAAACCATCGCTCGTGTCAAGCAGCCTGACCCGGGAGCTTCTACCAGCTGGGCTTCATCTGCCCTAACTCGAGTTAGGTGTGGGAATGATTCTTCTGACCCTGTTCGGACCACAGAGGTCCCGCTGCATTAATGTTCCCTATTCCTGTTGATGAACAAAGTGTAGCTGAGGTTCCTTTCCTGGTTTCCCAGAGACACATCCGTTTTCTCTCCTGTTGTAGGTCTCAGGATGGCAAAGCTGGAGTTTTGCAATGCATTTGTGGAGTGCTCCCTTCTGCACTGGTGCTCTCCTACCTTGTTGAGACAAACAGCCTGTCGTAGAGGGAATGGATGGGAGCCATAGGGAGGGCTTAGAAATACAGCTACCCGTGTTTGTGTCTTCAGTATTACTGGGGAAATGAAATCCTGTTCTCATCCACACAATCTACTCGTGATTTTAATATGCAAGAGATCAGGGAAAATGGGGTAAGAAATCACTGCAACTGAGAGACATGAGGTGTGTTCCTGACTCTTATGCAAGTCACTTAATCTTTGTGCCTTAGTATCTAAAAGCTCCTAAGTGGAAGGTGGTGTGTTAATACCAGAAAGCCAGGGCAGCTGGCTGCGTCTCTAATGCATGAGGAGGTGGGCACAGAAGGAAGATGAGTGGCTGGGAAGGGTGTGGGGAGCAACAGCAGCTCTTTGCTCATATCAGAAGGGCTTTTCTGCAGCATGTT